TAACAAATATATTTTTATAGAACCAGATCAATATAAATAATTATAGAAATATTTAAGAATATAATTTTAATATCTAGTATATTTAATACCTAATAAAGGGTTAGGTTAGGTTAGTTATCAAGTGTAAACTAATCTAATTCCTAAAACTAGGTACTGAGCTTTTATATTACATTCGCGCAAGAAGTTGGGTGCAGTCAAGCCTGAGGTTGCCCACTGAGTTTTTATCAGCAGTTGCCATATCGTAGATATTTCCGCAGTAGCATTGCAAAAAATGTTATTATTGTTTACTATAAAACGGTTTCTTCAAATTTACGCCTTTTCGAGTGAGGTGCGCCTTGTGGATATCCCAAGCTTCCAACTACTTTATATTGTGCTGTTTTGACCACAGATGGTCTGCAATACCTGGCTTCTTTATGTCACCTCTTTGTACATGTTTTTTTGTGCTCGCCAAGTTCTACATTTAGATGACGTTTAGTCTCTCCATAATATACGACTAACCGCATTCACAAAGGACCTGGTAAATTCACTCTTTCTCTTGTTTCGATGATTCCGACCTTGTTCTGGTTAGAACGCTCCTTAGAGTCGTTACAGATTTGAAGACAAACTTAATGATATTCTTTTTGGCTATTCCAGAAAGAGTGCACAAAAAACGTGTTAAGCTGATTATGTATCTCGGGCGTATAATGTAACACAAAATATCAAATATTGCATCAGTTGATAGAAGGAAACATCGAAAGCCGGAGGGGTATCAGAAAAATGAAAATATCTTAGTTGAGAAATATGAGACAGTGGACAGGGCTCACGGTGTACAGTCGTAAATATATTATTATATATTTACGACTGTACATATTGCCAGGAATAGAGAAACCTTGGGAAATTTTATAGTAAAAATCGATTAGTAGATATGCATTAGAAGAAGAAGAAGAACAACAAAGATTAAAAAAAATCAATTTATAGGAATTAGTCTAAAAACTTTAAATATTTTTAGCAATAAAAACTATCGGAGAACAAAGACAATATGTATGGTTACTTTTGTTCACGGGATATTTACTTAAATTAAATTCCACCTTTTAGAATCCTCATCTGGATGGCCAAAGCCAAAAACTAACATTTAGATCGACAATTAGATTCATAGAAAAATGAGTTATTATTCTTTTCCTTAATCTTTTCAAATTGAAAATTTATTATATTGGTACGTACACTTTCTTTTACTTAAATTTCTGAATAATTTAATTGACTAGCCAGGTATTAAAAGCAGTTGTTTGTTGTTTTGAATTCAAACGTTCGAAACAATTTGAAAAATCCAAACACCTTCGGTTCCTAATTCGTGATGTTTGCATTTTGGACGTACGTAAATATACAGAAAGATACCTATACTCTATAATCGTGAGGATAATAGTCTTAGAAAGATACAAAATTATTACCTGCATATAAATGGACTTTTGCAACTTAACATTATGTCCCTTTCACTGTAGATGTGTTCTTGTTGCTGAGTTTCAACAATATGCTGCTTCTTTAAACATTTCAATGCAAATGTGAGAGTTGGATCCTTTGTATATTGTACTAATTCAACTCTACCAAAACCTCCCACACCTAATGTGCCAATGATGTCAAGATCGTCAAGTTCAATGTAATCATACTCTAAAATGGAACAGCAACATCAATAAACTGTCTAAATAATTTTATGAAATTTGGAGTTGGCGTATCATTTGTTAAATATTTTCTGGTTAATACCAAATCATAACTACTTATAAAACGAAACCATAAAATTACCTTGTTGTTCAGGAACTACAGGCCTGTTCATCCGTTCTTCATCCCTGTAATCTTTTTCTTGAATTTCACTCAAGCTACCTAAAAGCTGATTGAAGGAATCTCTATCGAGGGTAAGACATTCGACTCCCGGATGTAGAGCAATTACTGACGCAGTTCTGTAGTCTTCCTTAAGCAGTGCTTGTTCTCCAAAATAATCGCCTCTACCAAGCGTGCGTATTTCTTCTTCTTCTAGATGTCCTAAATAAATTTATTTATATTATTAAACTACAGAGTTTACCCAAATCCTGACCTGATTAAAAAGTAATAGATGCTGTATTATATCGTGTTATTATTGTTAAGATCCTTATTTTTGTTTAAAAAAAGTTTCGAAAAAAGTTCGTCTTCCAAAAAAGTTTAATATCAGGTACATTATAAGAAATTTTCAGTATAATGTGGTATAATCTTTTATCCAGTATTCTGGCAATGATGGATTTCCAGTTTAAAAATATATTCATACATATACAAGGTGATTCTTATCTATTTTTATAATAAGATTTTTTTTATATATTTTTGATTTGTTTGATATATTTTTAGTTTTGTTGTTCCTTTGCTTATTTTTATTGTTAAGCAGCGTTAAAAACGATCAACTCAGTATCAATCAATTCAAAATAATGCATACAGAAGCTGAACAAATTAGGCAAAGAAAACAAAGTCCTCCTACTCTGGATGCTAGCTTACCAAGGGAGAGAAGGTAATGAGAAAACATGATCTAGCTAGAAAAGGA